TTTGCCTCAAGGTTTACTACTTTTCCATCAATGGATACAGCCACAAGGCAGTGGAGGTTTGGAATTGGAGTTTTCCTTCTCCTAGATAGGCTGCCTTCCAAGGCTAAGGAGCTCCATCTATCCGGAATCCTGCTGGAAGTCTAGGCTTATAATGGGGTCTGGGCATCTGACAACATTGCTCTTCACTGACACATTCAACTCCCCTCACCATGTTAAGGTATGCATCCAAGGTGGCTATATGTGTATCACAGATATATACTTGAAATAGCTGTTTGGGAAGCAAATACTTGTAGTAAACACTTCTTGAAATACCACTGGTTTTATCAGAATCTTAAGCAAGTGGCTTACATACGACAGCTAAGAAACACGCAGGCACTCTAAACAGACTGCTAAAGAGTTCACTTCTTTTAAGGACATAATCTCATACATTCTTTTTCTCTGATTATATCTGACAAGTTGCTGCTCTCTGTGGGTTGGGTGGATTCCTGATTCATTGTACAGCACTGGGAACTGATCAAAGGGTTCAGCAAAATATGGTACTAATTTATGCACATAGACAAGATTAAAACACTTGAATATTGAAAAACGCTAATGGCAACTAAATGATATCCAGTTAAGGTATATTTATTTATTTATTTATTTATCAGTATCACTCTGAGCGGCTAACAACATATATACGATTACAATAATATAAATCTAAAATATCAAGTAACATCACATAACAAAATCATAAATAATAGATAGATAAGGAAAGAAATAATAAACTATATAGTGTACAACATACACACCCTTTCGAGCTATGATAATTTTAATAAAAAAAACCCTCCAAAATATACGCTTTTTAGCCACTTAGTATTGCCATTTTAATACAAGTGTTCCAAGCTATTTATAAAGACAGAAAGAGATAGAGAGAGAGAGAGAGAGAGAGAGAGAGAGAGAAATTCTCTATTCAGTCACTGATAAGCTGCAGTTTTGAATCTCTGTTTACAACTTTGTGTGGAAAACCTAGTTTTCTGTGGAAAAAATGGACCAAAACTCTTAAACCAAACATACACCTTGCTTCTGTTATAGGAAAAAAGGGGAAAAATTAATTACTGGGTGTAAAGAATATTTTGCACTGCTGTCTTGGTCATCAGATCTCTTCTCGTCAAAGTTCTATCCCGCTGAGTTAAAAGAAATGAGGTCTAGCATAGACTCTGTGATGCCTGTTCTATTTTTCCCCTCACAGGAAAAGTACAATATGCAAAACACTATATTCCTACATTTTATAATTAATTTGTGAATGCTTCACCTATACATATTTTAATAATTTCTGATTTATCTGATGATATCTATAATAAAATTTGCTATATTTCAATAAATGAAAGGAAGGCTGTTTCAATCCAACAACAGAGTGTCACACAATATAGGCCTGTCAGGCACCAATTTTTACTTCTAACATGTAAGTTAAAGGATAAGGAATTTATAATGCCGCCTGTGAACGAAACCACTTTTCATACACAAATGTGATCTTTTTTTTCCACCCAAAGGGTAATACAACAGTACATTTACATAAACTAATCCAAACAATCTATGTATTTGACAATGGCAAACCTCACACAGACTGCCTATTGTTGGTTTACATCTTGGAGTTCTTTATGTTGGCTTGTAACACTGCTCTAGCTGTCAAAGGTTTGACTTGGACTCTAAATAAATGGTTATACAAGTGCTGTGCAGCGATATTGGACTTCTTTGGAAAAGAAAACCTGCTGTGTGTGAATTCAAAAGCTATTAATTTTTCAGTCAAAAATATTCATGCCTATTTCTTTTAATAGAGAAACACTGTGCTGAGCAACTGAGAGATAATGTTGACTAGTGGTACAGAATTTTCAATAGAGCAGTTAAAAATAAATTTAGTAGGAGGTCCCCATCAAAGCTATAATTTTCTAGCATGTAAAACATTTTTAATACTAATCAAGACAGTGCATCCTCCCTTAGATCAGTTTTTCTTTTCCTACTCTTTTGTCCTGTTTATTAGCTGTGTTGCAATGGTATGGTCAACTGGTATCACTGGAGCTCATTAACCAAAGCTCTCAGATTTTCATAAGTGAGTTACTGGTCAACTGGCTAAATACTTATCATCTTGCAATTACCTTCTGACCCCGGGGCCCTAGTCAGTCCTTCAAGATTGGGTTTATGGGCCCTGGACCCTAGACTACGCTGTAAAAATAACTGTTCAACCAGAGGGCACTGGTATGGCAGCAATGTGCTTGATGGTTTATCTCACCTATAAAGCTAAACCCCATTTCCCCAGTTCATATCACATCAGACTGGTACGTCCTAAAATGACAGGTGGACATCCTTTCAAAATGCAAGACATATTTATTTTATTTCTGTCCTTGAAATGCTTTAAAGTTCCTAATGGCTTCCTGTGATTACTGAAAACTGAGGGAGTGATTTGCTTCCTGATTTTAAGATTTAAAGGTACACTGCTTTTATTTGATTTTTACTTTGAGTTGTGTGCAAATTAATTGAGTGTTGACAATCTGTAATTCGTACAAACAGTTTTAATCACTATGCAATGATGCAATATTATGATGAAGTATTGGTTTACTTGTTTTTAATTTTCTTGCCCACTGTAAATAAGGCATACAAACATATGTAAGATTTATGATGACAGAAATTTTTAATAGTCATGCTATTAACTCAATGAATATGGTAGCCTGCCTAAGCGCAGGTGGTAGTGAAAAAAATTAATGCCTGAAACAAAACACATACTGATAAATAACATAAAATAATTATACAGTATGTACCTCTGTTTTCCTAGAAAAGAATTTAAAATTTCCAGGTTCTCTGGAAAATAAAGAAATGGGGCCTACTGTGATGGACCAAGCAGTTGAATTTTGAAAACATCACATTGACTCTGGCTTATTTAATGGTAAACATTTACATAATGAAGATCTGTTGTGTCATCCTTAACCTTTTTTCTGCAACATTGTATTCACATAAATAAAAGTGCATACTTCAGCAAGACGTATTTCCAAACAAGAGCTTCACTTTTCATATTTACCTTTGTTTCAAGAGCATGTTCTACATTTCTTCTCACACAAATGTTTTCATATTCTACATTTCTCCTCATGTTCATCAAGTCAAGGGAAGAAATTTCAGAATTTTCACAGGCTCATCCTTTAAGTAGACCCCCAGTGTGGTGCAGCGGATAAAGTCAAGGAAAAGGACTCAGGAGACCTGGGTTCAAATTCCCATTCGGCAATGGAACTCCCTGGGGATGTCCAAGCCTTGTCTATAGAGCCCACTTAGGGTCACTATAAATCAAGTGTGACTTGATGACATGGAACAACAATGCCTTTATCAAGGAAAGGAGTGCTTCCCAGGCACACTGTTGAAAACACCCATGCTGTTACATATTTCCTTGTGAATGTTTAAACAGGCTATCTATTTCAATAGCCTGTTTATATCAGTTTTTTCTTTCTTTCTTTTGAACACAAATGAGGTGTTCAATCATTCAAAGATGTTAAACCCTAAAATATTGCCCAAGAATACCCACTATAGCAAGATTTTATACTACACTATGTATTTATTTAATGTATTTTATCTTTGTATAATCGAGTCTATGACCGCATAATAAAACTTTATTTATTTATTTATTTATTTATTTATTTATTTATTTATTTTATTACTTATAAAAGCAGGAACTGGCAACTCTGGCCCACACTGCATAGCCAAAATATTTAATATTCAGGAATATTGATAGCTGATGATTGAAAATTTCTGGAAGGCCAGATTTGCCCTTTTTTATTTATGGCATGAAATCCTAATTTTACAATCCAGAATATTATATAGGTTTCAGAAATTTTAAATGATTATGAACATGTTCACTCTGATCCTACTTTAAAGACTGGCCAAATATTGGTTAACTACACCTGCAAAAGGCAAACAGCATACCTTGCAGTAGCTTCTCACAGGGATTTTCAGGCATGCACCAACTAACCTGACTGACAGATTTCTGGGCATATGTCAACCAACCAGACTGATGCGCCCCTGTAAATCCCAGTAAACTCATTAACTGCAAACCAAAGGCTGCCAGAAGTTATGCCACTTGCCTTCAAAGGTGCATTTAATCAACAAGATTTTGCCCATTCAGTTTTAAAATGTGTGAATGCCATTCCACACTGATAAAGTCTACCAGTTCACTATATCCATTCTTCACAAAAATTGGAAGGACTTCTAATTTATTTTAGACATGCTGGTTCGGGTAATAGATCTAGGTTGCAATCCTATCGTTACTGACTAGGAGCCTCCATTAAGCTGAGCTACACTTATATAGGGTGTGCTATAAACAAACAAACAAACAAACAGATGTATATATTGCAACTGTTAAAAAATTGCAGTGCAGACATAAACTGTTTAGTCAAAAGTCATACAAGCTGAGTTTAATGGAGTTTACTCCCAGGTAGATGGCATGGGATTGCAAACAAAATAATTAGGAAAAAATTGTTAGCTCAATTTATATAAAAGAAAAGGATCACAAGCCTATTATACAACATATACTTGACTGTATGTGATGAAGTATATTCTATACTATGAAAGTGTTTGGCGTAATAAACAATGTTGCTCCCTAGAATATACTTCTTGGTTATTGCTTTGACGATTTCACTTTCACAGTTATTTTAAAAGAGCTTCCATTTGTACTTCGACCATCTCATGAGAAGAGAAGACTCCCTGGAAAAGACCCTGATGTTAGGAAAGTGTGAGGGCAAGAGGAGAAGGGGACGACAGAGGATGAGATGGATGGACAGTGTCATTGAAGTGACCAACATGAATTTGGCCCAGTTCTGGGAGGCAGTGGAAGACAGGAGGGCCTGGCGTGCTCTGGGCCATGGGGTCACGAAGAGTTGGACATGACTAAACGACTAAACAATAACAACCTTTTGTACTGCATTCTCAGAGAGAAAAAAACAGGGCCCACTTTAAAGCTTTATTTTCTCTTTGGAGATACTTACAGGTTGAGGGGTAGCTTTGGGTTCAGTTGACTTCACATGCAGGTGCGTCATCATAGCTTGCAGGCGCTCTTTGTCTTTTGCAAGCTGAATGGGGAAAAAAGTTACTTTGGTGAACAGAATCCAGAACTGTACTTGTTCCCAGCTGGCACTTCAGATGGCTCACTACAAACCCTGCCACCATAACATTACGACTATAACATTATTACTTCACAACAGTTTGAAATTGATACGTGACTTCCCACCAACCCCCCCAAAAAACCTTTTTAAAAGTAAAACAAAAGTCTTGGTACTGATCAACTTTTTGCAAAACACAACGTGTTAACTTTTGATTGAAGTAGCACTAGACCTGCTGCTGGCACTAGTGATTTGGATGCAGCACTGACAACTAAAATATCTTAATAAATCCTGTTTATTAATATGCCACCCAAATTCACAACATTCAGCAAAAAAAAGGTGTGAAAATGAAGTGGCCAAACAAACTAACCTTTTCCTGATTTAAAATTTAGAATAAGTCTTTAAAAAATCTCCTTCCTTCTTTAACAACTTACAGCCCAACATATGAGAATGAAATAAACCCTATGGAAATATTTTCATCTTTTAAATGGAGCAATTAGTGAAGATGTATCAAACTTCATTATTTCACAGAACTGGAAGTATCAAAACCTTTTAACCAGGGGAATGTGCATTGCATGTGGCCAGCATGATATATGTTAGGTACCATTTTTGTTACCAGTTCTGTTTGTTAAGTGTTGACTGACTGCTGCTGGATGCCCCTCTAGTAACTGGCATAGTTTTGGAAAGACATTTCTTCTGACTTATCTATGGATGTCAAGCTCAGAATACAAGTCCAACTAGGGTCTTTTGATAAAATTGCAGTGCTACTACAATCATTTTTTCACAATTGCCCATATGCTAAGATTTCCAGTAAGGTATAAAACATCTGGGCAGAACTATGCATTCACAACTGGAAGTTATAAACTACTTATAAAGAAGTTTCAGAGTGTTTAATGTGAAAAGAAGAGTAAACTCTATGTAACATGGTTTAAAACAGGTAACTGAAACAGACAAAATATGGACCATGAAAATAGCAGAATAAAAATGTTTCAATGGCTATTTTGTCTTAAACTGAATCAAGTTTTAATGGCTTAATGTTCAAAGGAACATTGGAAAGAAAAACATTTTAATGTTTCCAGAAACAGAGGAAGCCTTTCACACTTCCCATGAGACAACATTCTAAGGTTTAGGAATGCTAATAAAAGGATGATAGAACTACAGTGGGGCTAGTGGTCATTGGACTCCATCATCCCCAGCCAGCATGAGGGGTGATGGAATTTGTTGTCCAAGTTTCCACAGGACTATAGGTTCCCCAATCATGCATAAAATCTTGGAGATATATATATATATTAAAAAGCAAAGCATGCTGTTTATACACCGCCCATAGTGCTTAAAACAGTCCCTGGGTGGTTTGCAATTTAATTATTTAGGCTATACATTGCTCCCCCAGTGAGTTGGGTACTCAATTTACCAACCTTGGCAGGATGGGAGGCTGAGTGAACCTTGAGCCAGCTACCTAGGATTGAACCCAGGTTGTAAGCAGAGTTTTGACTGCAGTTTAAGCACTTTGCCATGAGATTCCTTTAAAAAAATTATAATTATAGGCCTTCTGTGAGAAGGAGAAGAGCAGGGGACTGTTTCATGAGTACAATTGGCTGGATGAGTCACAGAATTTTTTTTTACACCAAGGTTGCTCACCATGCTGGCCACTAGTTTTGTGTAGTTTACCTACAGACTTCTGCTTACAGTATGTTTCTGTAAACTGCCAAAAAAAAATTTACAAAGATGCAAGGACTATTCTCTGGAGGAGTGACTTCCTGTCATATTTCCTGTTACTTCATTTCTCAAGCTATGCTATTGTTTTATTTTTCACTGTTGTTTAGTGAAAAGGACGGTGTAGATTGTGGCAGGGTCCAAAGACTACTTCAAAAAGGCTTGAAATGAATGTATCCTTTTTAAAGGTAAGGATTTGGGGACTATTTCACTGAATTCCTATACTATTCGTATATTTAAAAATATTTCTTGTCCTACAATAAAATTCTTAACAAAATGTATAACTATGGTAGCAGCAATAAGTCAATATAGGAGAGATCTATCAACAGCATCTATTGAAGCTCCTCTTCTTTTGGTCTAACAACTGGACAATGAAAATGCTCCAGTAGGAAAGCATGTTTATTTAGCAACCTCAATTCTGCATCTTAAGAATATTCATGTCAGTAATCAATTTCTGATGCCAATCATAAGAGCTGGCTTTCTGGTATAGAAAAAAGAAGCCAGCTAAGGCACCACCGAAGGCAAAATACTACTCAGCCCATACCATCAATCTTATCTTCTCTTGTTTGGGCAGACTTTCCTTAATCAATCTTCCTAGCAACCAGTTTTAGAATGTTATGTTTCTGGTTGTGCCAGTGTTCTTAAAACCACACAAAAGGATCCTCAATCTATAATCAGAGGGATGCGCTGGTACAGTGGTGCTGCAATTTAAACCTAATTAATTATTCCCACAGTGCCTCCCATTACAATTCTGAGTAATATGCAGTATGAAAAAAAACCACTCTTTTTATTTCAGCTGCTAACTTTTCATTACAGTAGCTAAGGAGTAGAGTTTATTCAAAATACATGTCTAGGGTAAATGTAATCACATATTTACTGTGAGGGTAAGAATTCCTGCTAACCTAGCAGTTCGAAAGCATGTAAAATGCGAGTAGATAAATAGGTATCACCTTGGTGGGAAGGTAATGGTGTTCCGTGTCTAGTTGTGCTGGCCACGTGCACCGTGCGCTAGAGTCAGACACGACCGGACTAAATGTCAAGGGGAACTTTTACCTTTCCTAAGAATTTGAACTAAAACATAGGCAAACCTTCTGTTTTCAGGGAACGGGACATGAAGTATAAAGGGATTCTTTAGCTTGCTTTTCTGTAGGTCAGAAACCACAACCTGTAACTCCATTAGCAGTTCTGTGTCGTTCACTTAGATCATTCAGAAGAAGTCACAAGGGCTTGCTAGGCCATGGTTAAGAGAGCAAGCTCTCATCAGCCTGGCACCAAAAGGGCTCTGAAGATCAAAGTGATAGCTACCTAATGGTACTGCTGGTGGAAAAATAAACTTGTTTGCTAATGAGGTGCTTTAAGGAAAACAAATACACACATACACCTGCAGTTTGTGCCTAATCTGCAAGCCACAGGGCCACCTCTCAGGCTAATGTACACATGGATAATTTCTTATAGGCTCTACAATATAGAGATTCCACCCCACCCCACCCCAATCTTGTACCTCATATATCAAAATGTGTTACTAAGACAGTTGTGTCTATTTTGCATTGATTGCACAGGTTGGTCAGCATAGTGACTCTCCAAAATGAGTAACTAAATATAATGAAATACATGATTTTGTTCTCTCCGTTTTTAATGAACAAGATGCTTCCTTGCTGCTACTGCTACTTGTCACACTTTTTCCTTTACGGACATCAATGCCATGAAGAAATGTGTTAAATCACTCCCTGTCTTCCCAGGTATACAAACATAGCTACGCATAACTTAGCTGAAGTTATGTTGTCATGGACGAGAGCTGCAGGAATATGCTGCTCATAGGTGGCCTCTTTATTTTAGTTTTGCCTGATATTGAGTCAGATGATAGCCCAATAATGTCTACAGTGACTAGAAGTAGCTTTCCAGGGTTATGGATAGTTTTTCTAGCCCTACCTAGAAATACCAGGAACTGAACCAGAGATACTGCATGCATGTGCTTTAGCACTGAGCTACCGGATTCCTAGGAAAGAAAAGGTGAATTGTTGCCTCCAGAACCAGCAATTCATCTTTCAAATAGGTTGCAAGACCCACCCACTTGCACTGTTTAACAACCAGAATGCCCATTTTTGAACACTGAAAAATGGACGTTTGCCTGAAAATTGGCTTGCAAAATTCACTCTGGTTGTTCCTGCCTGAATTAGAAGAACGGTGGCCACATCAATAGTTCAAATGTGCTGCTCTTAACTACAGGGTCTAGCAATTAAAGCATATTCATTTGTCTGGAAAAAATCACACACATTTTAAATAATCTAATCAAATCATTACGTTATAAAATGTTTGCTATAAGTAGTGTTTTGAGTACTGAAGAAAGACCAGCTGACTAAGAATTTGCAATATAAATAATACTTATTGTTTCAAATGATAATTAATTACATGCCACCAAATCCGTTGTGGTTCATAGCAAATTTCCTGGGGTTAACCAAGCCCTTTGTCAGGTGGTATTCCGGGACTGCTCAAGGCCATGTGACCCTATACCATGATCCTCCTATTCTGGGCATTCTACCTACTTTGCAGGCACCTCATAAATGCCTCAATGAGAAAAAGGCCTACATTAGAAACCTCTGAGGCTTAGCTAGGCCAAGTCCTGCCCAAGTGTCCTATTCTTGCCCCTGTGCTGGCTATGAGATTTCTTTCTGAACAGGACACCTAGGCAGAGCTTGTCCTGGCTAAGTATCAAAGCCTTCTAACTTAGACTCCTTTTTTTTCCATCAGCCGTCTAGGCAGGGCTAAGTATCAAAGCCAACTTAGACTCCTTTTTTTTCCATCAGCCGTGGTTCAACTGCAGTAATTTCAGGGGGATTAAAAGTATCATATTTCCTCTTCCAACTTCCAAGGACCTTTAGAGATTTCCTTCATCTCAGAGAAGGCTTTGGAGTTGCAAAACAGGAGGGTGATCTATAACACCTGAAAACTGCTGCCACCCCAGTAACATGGAGGTGGCTTCATGCTTATGAATGGAACACAGGGACCAACGAATCCCTGGCACAGTAGGTCAAAGTGTGATACAAACTCATCCAGAGATTTACTGGATAGTACTGAGTGTCAGTATCAAAAGACTAATTCTGTGGGATATTGCTTGTAGTGATGTGAGAAGAAGCCGCTTCTCATCTCTCTCTCTCTCTCTCTACTCCCTTCCTTGAACCTTTCTGGAAAAAATAAATAAATTATGCTGCAACAAACTGACAAAAAAGCCTTTTGTGCTTCATTGGCTAATCTTCTTCTTAATTCCTGAAAGACTTGATCTCTGGCATCAAAACAGCCAGGATACTGAATGATAAAAGTTATACCATAATGCCACACTTTGCTAGTGGATCTCTATGCACTGCTGATATGAAGTTCGGATACAAGAAACTAGCAAGAGAACAGTGGACTAATGTGGGAACAGATCCACAGTACTGGCTAGACCTATATTTGTGCTCTAATTCCCTGTTCAATTTATATTGGGGAGGAGGGGAAATGCAACCTAGGAACTGCTCTAAACTCACAGATTCCTTTCTCTACTCCACCGTCTTGGGATAAAGCAAAAGCACTTGTTCGCTTTCACAAATAGTAAGGCATGGGAGAGCCAGAGATCTACCCCAAAGTATTTAAATAGAAAAAAGGATCTGTAGCGATCGGTCTGTCTCAAGCACATCTGGCAGACTAAGAAAGAAGTTTCTGCAGTCCCCATGGGCAGTTATTCTATTGCTGAAATATTTCTATTTGGAGGCTTTTCTTGCTGGGGAAACTGTTATCTCTGAAAGTGCATTAAAGGCAAGCATTTACCTGCTGGGAGATATCCTCCAAGTTTACTAGCCAAATAGAGAAGAGAAGGGAAACAAAATGAAATGCAAGGGGGATAGGGAAAGTTACAGAAAATTGAATGCTGACTTCCAAAGAATAGCAAGGAGAGACAAGAGGGCCTTCTTAGATGAACAGTGCAAAGATATAGAGGAAAATAAAAGGGGGAAAACCAGAGATCTGTTCAAGAAAATTGGAGATATTAAAGGAACATTGTGTGCAAAGATGGACATGATAAAGGACAAAAATGGTAGGGATCTAACAGAAGCAGAAGGCATCAAGAAGAGGTGGCAAGAATACACAGAGGAATTATACCAGAAAGATCTGGATGTCCTGGACAACCCATATAGTGTGGTTGCTGACCGTGAGCCAGACATCCTGGAGAGTGAAGGCATGCCACTCAAACTATTTAAAATCTTAAAAGATGATGCTGTTAAGGTGCTACACTCAATATGCCAGCAAGTTTGGAAAACAGATCTAAAAAATTGTTCCAACTACTGTACAATTGCACTCATTTCATGCACTAGCAAGGTTATGCTCAAAATCCTCCAAGGTAGGCTTCAGCAGTATGTGGACCAAGAACTCCCAGAAGTACAAGCTGGATTTTGAAGGAGCAGAGGAACTCGAGACCAAATTGCTAACAAGCGCTGGATTATGGAGAAAGCCAGAGAGTTCCAGAAAAAACATCTACTTCTGCTTCATCGACTACGCAAAAGCCTTTGACTGTGTGCACCACAACAAACTATGGCAAGTTCTTAAAGAAATGGGAGTGCTTGATCACTTTATCTATTTCCTGAGAAATCTATATGTGGTAGAGGAAGCAACAATTAGAACTAGATATGGAACAACTGATTGGTTCAAAATTGGGAAAGGAGTACGACAAGGCTGTATATTGTCCCCAACTTATTTAACTTATATGCAGAATACATCAAGTGTAAGGCTGGACTGGAGCAATCCCAAGCCAGAATTAAGATTGCCGAAAGAAATATCAACAACCTCAGATACGCAGATAATACCACTCGGATGGCAGAAAGTGAGGAGGAATTAAAGAATCTCTTAATGAGGCTGAAAGAGGAGAGCGCCAAAAATGGTCTGAGGTCCACATTAAAAAAAACTAAGATCATGGCCACTGGTCCCATCACCTCCTGGCAAATGGAAGGGGAAGATATGGAGGCAGAGTTTACCTCCTTGGGCTCCATGATCACTGCAGATTGTGACAGCAGCCACAAAATTAAAAGACCTGCTTCTTGGGAGGAAAGAGATGACAAATTTAGACAGCATCTTAAAAAGCAAAGACATCACCTTGCCGCCAAAGTTCTGCATAGTCAAAGCTATGGAATATATGGAAGTGAGAGCTGGACCATAAAGAAAGCTGACCACCGAAGAATTGATGCTTTTGAATTGTGGCGCTGGAGGAGACTCTTGAGAGGTCCCTGGGCTGCAAGGAGAACAAAGCTATCCATTCTAGAGGAAATCAACGCTGAGTGCTCACTGGAAGGACAAATCCTGAAGCTGAGGCTCCAATACTTTGGCCACCTCATGAAAAGAGAAGACTCCCTGGAAAAGACACTGATGCTGGGAAAGTGTGAAGGCCGGAGGAGAAGGGGATGACAGAGAATGAGATGGTTGGACAGTGTCATCGAAGCGACCAACAAGAATTTGACCCAACTCTGGGAGGCAGTGGAAGACAGGAGGGCCTGGCATGTTCTGGTCCATGGGGTCACAAAGAGTCAGACACGATTTAATGACTAAACAACAACAACGTTTTTCATAAAATACGTTCTTCTGAAGTTTACAATTCCTGTGTATTTCCTTTTCTCACTGAAATGGTACTGCAGTTCTAACAATAGTAATAGGCCCTCATAACTATGGTTTTTCAGAAAGTAACATGTAGGAGACTTTCTGGACAAAAAGTGGCTAATTTGTGAGATAAGAAGATAAAAGGGAATTTGAAAATACAAGTCACCGTTATCAGGAAGAAGTAACAACAAAAAGTTTAAGTGTGTTTTTGCTGATTTTTCTCTATAACCATTTGAAGCTGTAAATTACTAACTCAGTAAAATTCCAAATGTAATTATCTTCTGCACTTAGCCCACGGCTTTCTATATATCTCTTCATTACCATCTTGCATATAAAATAGGGTGGATTTTTTTTGAGGAATGGTAACTATATAATGTACAATATTGTTTTAATTTGTCTGCATTGGGAATCATTTTGCCTACTCTCTGACACACAAAGAAGTCAATCCACACAGAACACTAAGACATAGACAGACGGGGCTTGAAAGCATTTTGAAATAGACTTATATAAAAGGGTTGCAATAATACGGAAATTGCACATCTTTATAAATTTGAGTTTTGCTCTCTTAATAAATCATGCAGGAAGTTGATTTTGTATATAAATATAAATTAGCTTCAGCAAGTATAGAGAAATGGCTAAATATCTTTGAAATTACATATATATAAATTTAAAGTTTTTTTTTCCTCAGTTGAAGAAGAAGATGCTTTCCAATTCAATCTTAAGGAAGTTGTCAAAACTGATTCTATCCTTCATTTATTCCCCCAGTTCTATACATAGGAACAAAATATACATATCCCTCACTAAAACCAAAATTTATATATATATATTTTAAAATACATAAATAATGTTGAATAATTTAGTGTACTCAAGCTTCCACTTTTGTTTCAATTGATAGTGAGGAAGAAACCAAGCTGCAATTTCTACAACAGTTTTTTTTTAAAAAAGACTTTTTAAAAAGCTTTTAGTTTCAAATTAAAACTGAGAAATGCAAGATTCATTTTCATCGACTCCATTGATACTAAGGCAATATTAATATAAAACATTATCTTTACCTGCAGCTCTAACTGTTGTACAACCTGCATTTGTACTCTACATTGGGCTGTACTTCTATCATCCAGCGCATGCTCACTGTTGAGATGTCTGTAACAACACACAGAAAACCATTAAGTGAAATGGATAAACAAAAAGGTTAAGTAATGGAAGTAAGTACCAGCATGACAAAAAAAGACCAAGTGTTACCCAGAAAGCATGGATTAGTATTCTTTTTTTAAACAATTGCTACTTTCCTGCTTTAAACAGGCTGTTGCATTTCTCATAAAATGGTATTTCGGCTCAAACACAAAACTCAGCAGAAGAATTGTTTTCTCAAGTGAGAAGAAGAAATAAAAATATAATTAAAAACATAATTAAGAAATCAAGGAAGGCGTATTTTTACACTTATGTGGTAAAATGATGCTGAATACATGGATGCACATGGCAGATCGTCATCATAGATATAACACATTCCCAAGGCTGAAACCAAACATAACTGTGTGGGGGGAGGGAAATGGGGAAGAAAACAATTATGCAGGAGGAAATCATGGCCAAATTATGTCCTGATGGGGAAAAAAAAGGTAAATTGCTAGAATACCTGTTTTTTAAAAAATATCTTTGTTCACAAGATCATTTTAAAATTCAAATAAATAGTGTTTTGTATCTCAGAGACTAACAGTATACTGGCACATGTTTTTTTGGCAGCATTAGAATCATGCATATGCCAAAATCGCACATATGCAGGTTTGGCATTTTATTTAGAACACCCATTTCAAGAAGCTCAAAAACAAAAGTGCAGAAGGCACAGTGTAATAATATGACTTCCAAGGCTTGGAGAATTCCTCCCCCCCCCCCTCACCCAGCCCAGCAGATTACAAACAGCCCCAGCCAGTTCTCTTCAGTGTTCTTCTAAAACAAGCATCGCTGCAGTCAATGACAGCAGAACACCGTGGGCACTGCACACTTTTCTGTATTGCCTGAACATGATTCTTTCTTTAGAATTGTTCTTTCCTCTTCCAACCAAGCGATATTCCACCTTTCTTTCCCAATGAGAACTTGTGTTGCTTTTATCAGTTCTATAAGTGTGTTCTACACGTCATTTACTCTTCCCAAAAAACAAGTTTTCAAAAGTAAGAAATTCCCAGATCCTAACAACAAATCTATAAAACTGTGTTTATACATTTAAATAGGCAGCTATTCAGAAAATATAATTTGGCACTCCCAGAGCCCCCATTTTATCCCAAAGATTTTCAATGAGCTGGAAACAGTCCCCACACAAAATCTGAATTAGGCTTCAGTGACCATAAGAATGAAAACACAGCTCCTTAGATCATCTATGTGATCACTGCATAAACCACAGCTATTGCCCGCATGACAATTGAATACAATTATCCATCTTAATGGAATATGCTTGTTAAATGATGACAACAAAATTCCTAGATGGGAAAGGAAACTGGCTTCTCATGGATTCCAAGGCACTAGAGGCTAGATAGTATGAACATGTACATTAATATATGTATTCTTGAAGGCTTTCACAGCCGGGACCTGATGGCTGTTGTGGATTTTTCAGGCTCTTTGGCCGTGTTCTGAAGGTTCTCCTTCCTTACGTTTTTCCAATCTCTTCCTCTTATCACAACAATACACCCACACACACACAAAAACCAACATGCTGATCACCACAATCACCCATCTCCTGAAAAGGACAAAAGCTGATCCCACAGCTATAAATACTCAACTATCCAAACAACCTGTACCAGAACACAGAGTTCTGACTCCTGTTCTCTGAAGATGATGGCCACAGAGACAACCTTCAGAATACGGCCAAAGAGCCCGAAAAACCCACAACAACCATACATTAATATAATTTAATTAAAAGGAAAGATGCCAGTTTTACTTGCTGATGTTGCATACAAGGTCCCTACTACTCGTTCACCTCATAACCTCACTATTTTTTTTTGAAATGTTTTATGTTGTGACTTTTTATTTTGAATTATTCCTACAGTCCTGGCCAAAAGATTTACTGCATGTATAATCCCATTTGGTGAACAAATGTAGCTTAATTTATTAAGATACACATGGGTTACATGCAATGGTATGCAAACTCTTGGCTGCTGCTTTGCTCTTTCCTTCATAGATGGGGGAAAAACAGAAAGCTACAATTAACACAAGCTGCCCCTTGTGTACATGCCAAGCCAGGATGTAGCTACGGTTTAAAGCTGGTTTCAGATATCTGACAGGTTTGGGAGCTGTTTTCCATAACTCTAATTTCAAATGTAACACGATATTCTAGCTGAATGTGACATCCTGGCTTCTTTCCTCACTTGTGTAAAGAGGGAGGAAAAGGGCAGTGTGAGAGAGAGTATACAATTTGTGTCTATCCTGCCATATATCAAGTCAGGGTTTGATAGCCTGCACCAGCTCTTGTTAATGCACAATAAGCTACTAAAACCAAGGCAAGAGGATTCATAGAAGCCATACGTAAGCCTAATGTGGGTGAGGAATTATGATACAATTTTAAGTGGCTATCTGAGACATTGTTATCTGCATACCTAAAAAACTGACAGGAAAGAATACAATAAACGGGACATTGTGCTACTCATCACAGACCTGTAATTGACTGCAGTTTCTAACTAAGGATGGTTTCTGAACTTCAGGCACAATAGGTTTGCATTAGAGATGGGATACTTATATTTGTTACGAATAATGAATATTGGCATCATACGTGCCTGGGGGAAACAGTCCCTCTCCACAGAACTGGCCGGTCCACTTACTGCTTGCAGTGTGCACAGCCATCAACATTCGCACTGTACCAATCAATCATAGAAGTATCCCAGCTGGCGCTTCCCAACCTCCCTGCACAACTGACCACTTCAGTGAGGAGGTGGGATGACGAGTCTCCCTGCCCAGCTGCTGAGCCGTGGTGCCAATATTCGCATTTGTATCCCCAAGGATACAAATATGAACATTCAATCTCTAGTTTGCACAACTGGAAGTGCAGGTGCCTACAATCACTCTGCTAGAGAGATGGAGACCGGCAAGGGACACTGACTGTTTTTTATAGGCAGATTACTGTAAAGGTGTACCCTGCTGCCCAGGGGATATACAAAATTCATTCCTATTCTGCAGTTCACCGAGTCACAATGTAATGAAGTTTTATCTTGTGTTTTTAAAAATTCAAGTAGAATTTTATAAGCATCGTGGTGTCAGCTGAGTTTCAAGAAGGCTAAAGTAAAACTTCCATTATTAACTAGGGATGTGCCATTTGGTTTTTTTTTTTTTTTTTTTGCTTTAGATCCCAGAATTCTCCAAGAATTACCCAGGCAGAATTCTGGGACTTCCAGTTCACAGACGAGCACCTTCAGAGATCTCTATTTCCCTCAACTGGAACAGGGCCAAGCCCTCCAAGACTTTCTGCTACAATACTTCGTTGGTGCCATAATCATGCTGCCCTTTAGGGTCTAAGAAGGGTGCCTCCTGAAAAACTACAATGCCCAAGAAGTTATGTGGCAGTTTCTTCCCAGAAACAACTGTGGCAGGAAATGAAGGCCTGGAATACAGCTTTGGAAGGCTAAGCCTTCTAAATTCTGGAATATCCAGGTTTCTGCCTGTGGAATTCTTGGAAAATTCCGGAAAGGGAGTAAAACAAAAAAGGTTTAAATGGCAAATCCGTATTATGTATAGTACTCTGACTGCAAAGATTTGTCAATGTTTCTATTGCCAATGTATTAACTGCAGAAAATTATTGTCACTAAATTATCAAGTAAAGGGCTTCCAATGACAAAAATAGCTTCCCCCCCTCCTTTTTTTGGATTATGATTTGTTGTTACAACAAAAGCTGCTTTGTACTATTTGGTTGAACCTGAGTATTGAAACAGAATCAATTGGTCCACCTCATCAAGCATTATGGGTGGAGAAATGTGCTTGAAATCAAAAGTAACTGAGCAGGAGTAGAGCCTAGCAGACTGGCAAACACTTATTCATATCTTAGGAGCCTATAGCTAGGTTCAAACAGCATCTGGAATAAC